CCCGCCACCTGTAGGTCAATTACGTGGCAAAAATACATCCCCTCCAAGGATGTTAACAACTCTTTGGCCTGAGGTAAATTGTGCCTCGCAAACTCCTATCATTGATAAAGAGGGCACTTCATTCGAGCGATATGTTCGCAAGTTATATTTACGATCTCCCGTGACACAAATCATAAATGGATTGGAGGTTTTTTAACCAATTGGAAGCACATTTTTCATGTACAAGCGCATTTTCAACACTTTGAAAACTTAAATGTGGCTTCCCCTCATGACGGAGCACCTGTGGGCCGGCACGCTTGACAACGATGAAAATAATCCTCATACTACTTCAAAGTCTTTTTATCAAAAAATGCCCAGGTCACCTCATTGGGTAAGGTGACAGTGTCTCCCATAAATGTTAGCCCAACCAAAAACAAAGAACAGAGTTTTTCGGGCTAACAAAAGCGATGAGAAACTTTCATTCCTTATTGCACCTTGTTCGTTCTCTTAAGCATTTCTTCGCCTCTCTCTGCATTTACTCTCTCGCTTTCATATTTTCTACCGTCAAAATCTTTTATTTCCTCTTGAGGCACTAGTGTTATGGGCTAGGTATGTTTCACTGTCTAAGTTCCTATGTTTTTTCCCTTCACCATGAAGAAAACATGGTTGGATCAATTATCCTGGTTGAGAGTTGACTATACCGTACATTTTCGATCACATCCACTCTGGGATCCAAAGGAGTTCTCAATCCTTTCCAATAAAAAAATCATTCGACTGGGATCCCGCCGGTAGCAGGTATAGGCTGAAAGTGCTTCGCAATTGTCTGTCGCCCATACAATAGGCTACCTATCCCCTGTAGGATTTGGCATGCCTAGCTATAAGTCGTGCCTTGGCGTTAGGATAACAGACTTGATATGTGAAGGAGGTCTCTTTCCACCCAATACCTAGTGACTGTCATCGTCTCAAGCAGGCGGCAGGCGCATAGACGGAAAGTGAGCCATGATTGAGTTCCTGCTCAATGTCGATAGCATGCCCGAGAGTTGAGAACCCACACGGCACTTGATTGCATGAGAAGGTACTCGCCGAATGACCTATTAAACCTTCAGGAAACAATTGAATTAAATAGTGGTACCATACCAAGGAGAATTTAAACATCCCGTAAAAAGAATTTAAAGATCCCTTAATAAGAATTATACTATGCGGACCTTTGAGGGGATCGGCCTAAACACGGTTCAGTTCTTTTTTTTTTTTTTTTTTTTTTTTTTTTAAGAACAGAACCTCTCGCTCCTGTGCTGACACTGATCGATGTCTCAAACAATCGACACCATCGAGATTCCAATCTAGTACTCCATCGGACCGGACTGTCTGGGTTTAAGACCCCACCACTCCCGATACACATTCAAAACAGCCTTCCCCATAATTCCACCGTCAAAGGGAGATTGTGAACCTGTTTAGCTGACGAATGATCCCCTCCCACAACTTAAAAAAAA